ATGTGAGGCAACTGGCAGTTGGAACAGAGTTCTTTTTCAGGTGGGGAGGGAGAGCAGAACTCCTTAGCATCAGAGCGTATTAATTACTGTATAAGAAATACTAATGATTTGATGGTCATTTCGAAAAATTCTTTTGTGATGAGTGAGTAATATTTGGCTTTTATATATAGAGATTGATCTGGGTGAAGAGAACCATGACAACAGAGGGAAAGAAAGGCAGGCATGGCTGAGAAAAAAAGAGAGGGAAACACTAAGTCTGAGTCTGCCGGCAGACTGTTTAAAACCTAAATATGCATCTGTAGGACATGATCATTTCATATCATTCCAGATACCAACCTGGCCTTGGGTCAATATAAACGGAAGTTTCCAAATTAAGTACAGGTAGTCCTCCATTTAGGACCACATTTGACCCCAAAATTTCTGTTATTAAGTGAGACATTTATGAGTTTTCCCCATTCTACAACCTTTCTTGCCACAGTTGTTAAGTGAATCACTGCAGTTGATAAGTTAGTAACACGGTTGTTAAATGCACCTGGCTTCCCCATTGATGTTGCTTGTCCAAAGGTTGCAAAAGGTGATCACATGACTCAAGGACACGGCAACGGTCATAAGTCTGAGTTCAGTTGCGAAGCGTCTGAATTTTGACCACATGACCACAGGGATGTGCCCTGGTGGTTAGTGTAAAAAACGGTCATAAGTCAGTTTTTTAGTACCATTGTAACTTTGAATGGTCATTAAATGAAATGTTGTAGGTCGAGGACTACAAAAAATGAACCAAGACTTAATTGTAATGAAGGCCAAAGAGTTGGTGGATGACTTCTGTCTTTTTTAAATCAGACTCCAAAGTCATTAATATGGCGGTCTTACATTTTTGATGACCAGGTGCTGCATTTAATATTTTGGGTAGAGTGGTTTTTGCAAAGGAGGCCTGGCAAGGATTTTCTAACTTGATCAGTGGTTCTAGAACAGGGATGTGAAACTCAAGGTCTGGGGGCCGGAACCAGCCCATGGGATGCTTAGATCCGACCCGTGGGCCCATCCTGGAAACAGCAAAGGACTGGCTGGGACCCTCCTGCAGTGCCTCTGCCAGTGAAAACGGAGCTTGTGAGGCCTGCGTGTGGTTCTCCTGAGATCTGTTTTTACTGGCAGAGGGCTGCAGGAGGGTCCCAGCCAAAAACGGAGCTCGGGAGCCTGTTTTCACTGGCAGAGCACTTGGGCCACCACAGGTGCTCTGGACATGAGTGATGTCAAGCTGACCATGCCTACCATGGCCATGTCCACCCCCCGGCCCTCCATGGTCAAACCCAACCCTGATGTGGCCTTCAATGAAATCGAGCCCGACCCCCAGCTCTAGAAGCTCAATCAAGTCTGAAGTCTTAAGTTACTCCTCCCTATATCTGCATTGTGGATGCAACTCAGAGGGAACAGAATCCCAAATAGCTCCAATCTTTGCCCATGGTAAAATGAAGAATGAATGAGAGAGGACTTTGAGGTGTTTATATTCTAAAAGAGTAGGAAAACGCAGTGTGGAGTCTTCTCTTCTTTGCTACAGCTGGCCTCTTATCAATCTTGGAGCAATCAGGCAGCTACCTAACACTCCACGGCAAGACACTTTATATGACTCTGAGTCCTAATTTTCTTCGTTAAGGTAAAAAGGGGATTTGCTTTCCAGCATGGCATTATTGTGCCTGAGGAATGCATATACACACCTGCTACCTGACATGGTGACACTTGGCAGTGGGAAACAATCTTTCAGCCAACAAGGAAAGGTGGGCTTTCTCTCCCAACCTGCTCTCACCTTCTGACTGTGTTAAACAGGTTGTTGTTCTGACTTAGGCTTCCCAAAAGCACGAAGCCGACTCCTCATCCCGATAAAACCCCTTTTATTTTGTTTAAAGTGCCATCTCTGCCTCCAATGCAGAGCCCTCATCAGAGCCTTCCCCAGACTCCAGGACTGGTCAATGTTCCTTCCCAACCTCCTGACTGTCCAAATCTGCTCCCAGATCTGCTGGTGGGCCACAAGACATGCACTTTGCCCTTGGCTATCCAAACACATGGTTTAGCAGCTCTACCGTAAAAATCAACCTTCCTCTGGGATTATTAAGAATCGCAAGGCTGCAGAGAGAAATGATCAATTCATCTAGCTCAGCGTGACGTCAAATAGTTGATCAAAGATTCCAGGCTTTTCACAGAGTTAATCTAGAATTGTGATGGATTCAATATAATGACTTTTGGCACTGGCTATACAGGTACAAAGAGAAAGAGATTCCAGAAGTTTATAAAGGGATCACATGGCCCTGGGACATGGCAACCGTCATAAGTATGAACCAGTTGCCAAGCATCTGAATTTTGATTGCGTGACCACGGGGATGCTGCAATGGTTGTAACTGTGAAAAATGGTCATCACTTTTTTCAGTGCTCTTGTATCTTTGAATGGTCACTAAATGAACTGTTGTAAGTAGAGGACTACCTGTACTCCAAATATTTATACATTGGCCATTCATCTGAATACTGTACAATGCAGAAACTTACCTTTATTCGGATTAGAGATTCAACCTACGGGGAGCAAAAGGGAATCTCGCAGCAACTTTTAGAAGTCGTCTCTGGAGCCAATAGCTTTGTAAAAAGCCCCCCTCCCCTTACAATAATATCTATTTCAAGACTCAGTAGTTCACAGTTATTTAACCAGCATCTCCCAGGGCTGCACCCACCAAACTGAGTGAAAATTGATTTTGCTCATGTCATAAGCTAGCCAAATATGTAGCAACACCTAGTTGACTTTGGCCAATCCCAGAAGCTAAATAGAAGTTAGGCCTAGTTAATACTGGGTCAGGAAATCAAGTTCAGGGGTAGCTTCAAAACCTTTAGCAAGAGGTTCTCTGCCCAATTGCTGGGTGGGCGTGGCCATGGTGGGCATAGCCTAGTCAGCTTCCTGCAGGGACGTGCAGTCAGGGGAGGCGGGGGAGGCGGGGCCTCACCAGTCTCATGAGGAAAAGAAAAGAAATTTTGAAATAATTAAAAAGGCTAAGGTAGCTGCTGCCGGACTCAAAGTCACAGTGACTCTGAGTCTGCTTAGTGCTAACTGTAGGGGGACGAGAGAGAACTATGGGCCTCCTTTGCATAAGGAATTTTTCCCCTTTTAAGAGTTAAGCAAGGGTTAAAA